TTCTCTACATATGTCTGTACGTATCTTATACTACCTGCAGTATAACACATATGTGTACATTATTATACTACTACACCCTATAATGTTATAGTATTATACTACTATACTCTTTACATATACTTGATCTACATATGGGTGACTGTATTAAATGGTCCAATGAGATGGTTAATAATTTTTGTTCAACTTAAAAACTGACTTATGTAATTGCTTAGAGATCTTCATCCAGTATGATACTTAAAAATCTTCATATGTAAAGACAATTATTTTTAAATAGTTATAATACTATCATCTCTATATCTACATCCCTATACATCAACTTGAAGCCAGACTTATTTAGTTTGCTCAGAAATCAACATCCAGTATATTGCCTAAAAATCTTCATATACAAAAACAATTATTTTCCAATACTTCTAACACTGTCATCTCTGTATCTCCCTATCCCTATACATATATTATTAAAACAAAAAGTACCCTAACACATAAATTCAAAAAACGTCACGTCTAACAAAAATGACCACCCAAATAATTTTTTATGATTCATTACAAATTTTTATTTAGTAGAGTAACTCCGTATTCAGTCTTTCCTTTATGCTCGCTATAACCATAAATTCTTGGATACATTTTTAAAACACCCTGTATGCAGGTACACGTGGCAGTACGTTACGTCGTAACATGCTGAAATATTTGTTCAGAATCCTACGCCAAGGTACTTTATAATACGAAAATCGCACGGAAACCGACTGAATCCAATAAATTTTATAATGCTTCCCCGGCTGGCCTACATATTAGCCGTAGAATTCTGCGCCGCCTAATGATAATGAAATTTGAAAGGTTTATGCAAAATGTTGGCAAACGACATCGCGGTGCGTTCATTAATTACGACTTTCTACAGATTCCGTTGCTGTTCCTCTCTTGTCTTCTCTTTCAGAAATAACTTCCGGTATAATTAATTTTATTAATGAATTGAAAGAGAAATCTACGTGTCTCTGATTTTAATAACTCGATTCGCGGAATAACAAGAGGAAGCTTTAACGTTATGCGCGCTATTGATTTTTTAATAAACGGACAATTGTTATGATAATGTGAACGGAAAGCTTCGGATCTTGAAAATTGTAACAGCAAATATTCGTAACCTAACCATAAAATGTACCGCGTATAAAAAATTCTTTCATAAAATGATACACTCGATTTTTCACGGAGATCGTATGGTAAAACGAGGTCGGTTTATTCGAAAGATGTCTGCGAGACAGTTCCCAGAATGACCGTGCACTCTAGGTAAAAGCTGCGTTCGGGAAAGCGAGTGTGTTAACGCGATTCAGTTTCAAGCAAAACCCTTCGCGCCTAGTTAACTCGGCGTTGCAACGGAGTCGTTGATGACTCAACAAATCCTCGTGTTTCCAGCATTTCATAAATGACAGAATTTACACAGAACGTACATTTGAATCTACTACCGAGTCTGCACATAAAAATTAAGCGTGTAATCTGATTTAACAGAACATACTTTCGTCGGTGTAAATAAATTTAAAAATTATTAAATCTGGACGTTAATGTCCTGTTATTTTAAAATTATTACTGTATCTCTATTAACCACGCGTAGAGACTACCACGCTTGGAAAGTATCACGCGTAGAAAATACCACGCGTAGAGACTACCACGCCTGGAAAATATCACGCGTAGAAAATACCACGCGTAGAGAATACCACGCGTGGTGATCCGACGCGTAGGGAATACCAAGCGTGGTGATTCGACATGTAGGGAACACCAGGCGTGGTGATCCAACGCGTAGGGAATACCACGCGTGGTACTTCAAAGCGTAGAAAGTACCACGCGTGGTGATCCAACGCGTAGAGAATACCACGCGTGGTGATCCGACGCGTAGGGAATACCAAGCGTGGTGATTCGACATGTAGGGAACACCAGGCGTGGTGATCTCACGCGTAGAGAATAGAATATTATTGCTGTATATGAGACATGACACCAATTATCAAAGCTATGTATTTAAAGCTATTTCGTTTACGTCTGCACGGATAAACTGCCTTGTAGATCCATCACATTGAATGAAAAAGAGAACATCCAAGGCGTAGAGAATACCACGCGTGGTGATTCAACGCGTAGAGAACACCTCGCGTGGTAATCCAACGCGTAGGGAATACCATGCGTAGGGAATACCACGCGTGGTGATCCAACGCGTAGAGAATACCACGCGTGGTACTTCAAAGCGTAGAGAGTACCACGCGTGGTGATCCAACGCGTAGAGAATACCACGCGTGGTGATCCGACGCGTAGGGAATACCAAGCGTGGTGATTCGACATGTAGGGAACACCAGGCTCGCGTGGTAATCCAACGCGTAGGGACTACCATGCGTAGGAAATACCACGCGTGGTGATCCAACGCGTAGAGAATACCACGCGTAGAGAATACCACGCGTGGTGATCCGACGCGTAGAGAATACCACGCGTGGTGATCCACCGCGTAGGGAATACCACGCGTAGAGAATACCACGCGTGGTGATCCGACGCGTAGGGAATACCACGCGTGGTGATTTGACACGTAGGGAACACCAGGCGTGGTGATCCGACGCGTAGGGAATACCATGCGTGGTGATTCGACACGTAGGGAACACCAGGCGTGGTGATCTCACGCGTAGAGAATAGAATATTATTGCTGTATATGAGACATGACACCAATTATCAAAGCTATGTATTTAAAGCTATTTCGTTTACGTCTGCACGGATAAACTGCCTTGTAGATCCATCACATTGAATGAAAAAGAGAACGTAATATGACGTCGGTTTGATGCATTTTCCTATGACACAGAGAGACGTGCACCTTACGTCGTATATCAACCGCGACGGTAAAACGCTTTCAAACGGTTACACTTTCTTGGACAGGATCCAACGGAACGGCGCTAAACGCATCGACGACCAAATTCAATTAAGGATTGCACAGATTCTCTTCAGTCCACCTAAATCGAATACGAATTCAGCCTCGAACAGTTAACAGGAGAGACGTGCCGCGATATCACACTTGAAGCAAATTAATTGGCGAACAAACGATCGGCACTCCTGGATAGCCAACGATTTCCACGGGACTTTACGCTTATCCGCGTACTCGAGTAGCAGATATTCTCACACAAGCTAAGCCAAAATTCAATTGATTTCATTCGACGATCCTCGCTTCAGTGATCTGATTTAGCCTCGTAAACTATGAATTTTAAGCAGATGTATTGATCACTGCTCGATGGGTATTAATCTTTACCATTCTTGGAGATTTGTCGGAAAGGAGGACTGAAAGTTCGACGATTGGATCGTACTTTGGAAACGCGTAGAGAATACCATACGTAGGGAATACCACGCGTGGTGATCCAATGCATACGGAATACCATGCGTAGAGATTACCACGCGTGGAGAATACTACGCGTAGAGACTACCACGCGTGGAGAATACCACGCGTAGAGAATACTACGCGTAGAGAATACCACGCGTGGAGAATACCACGCGTGGAGAATACCACGCGTAGAAATTACGACGCGTAGAGAATACCACGCGTGGAGAATACTACGCGTAGAGACTACCACGCGTGGAGGCTACCACGCGTAGAGAATACCACGCGTAGAGAATACCACGCGTGGAGAATACCACGCGTAGAAATTACGACGCGTAGAGAATACCACGCGTGGAGAATACCACGCGTAGAAATTACGACGCGTAGAGAATACCACGCGTGGAGAATACCACGCGTAGAAATTACGACGCGTAGAGAATACCACGCGTGGAGAATACCACGCGTAGAAATTACGACGCGTAGAGAATACCACGCGTGGAGAATACCACGCGTAGAAATTACGACGCGTAGAGAATACCACGCGTGGAGAATACCACGCGTAGAAATTACGACGCGTAGAGAATACCACGCGTGGAGACTACCACGCGTAGAGAATACCACGCGTAGAGACTACCACGCGTGGAGAATATCACGCGTAGAAATTACAACGCGTAGAGAATACCACGCGTAGAGACTACCACGCGTGGAGAATATCACGCGTAGAAATTACGACGCGTAGAGAATACCACGCGTGGAGACTACCACGCGTAGAGAATACCACGCGTAGAGAATACCACGCGTGGAGAATACCATGCGTAGAGACTACCACGCTTGGAGAATATCACGCGTAGAAAATACCATGCGTAGAGATTACCACGCGTGGTGGTCTCACGCGTAGAGAATACCACGCGTGGTGATTTGACGCGTAGGGAATACCACGCGTGGTGATCTCACGCGTAGAGAATACCACGCGTGGTGATTAGACGCGTAGGGAATACCATGCGTGGGGATCTCACGCGTAGAGAATACCACGCGTGGTGATTTAACGCGTAGGGACTACCACGCGTGGTGATCTCACGCGTGAGTAGTTCAACGCGTAGAGAATACCACGCATGGTAGTTCAAAGCGTAGAAAATACCACGCATGGTAGTTCAAAGCGTAGAGAATACCACGCATGGTAGTTCAAAGCGTAGAGTGTACCACGCGTGATAGTTCTACGCGTAGAGAATACCCCGCGTGGTAATTCAACGCGTACTTTCGAAACTTGGAAATTTCCAACTTTCAAACTCTCAAGTTCTAGAATTTCTGAAAGTTTGCAAATCTCTTAATTCTCAAATTCTCAGACTTCAAGGCACAACGTAGAATTGTGCTAATACAAAATTAAACTACAGTAATCAGCGGAGATACATAAAAATTCAGCTCGTGTTAATACGATGCATAAAAATTCAACGCGTTATATTACAACGCATGAGAATTCAGGCAGCGACGATGCAACGCATAATAACGTGTATCAATATACACAACCACCGGTAAAATTGTAAATGCATTGATTCTATAGCAGGTTCCGTTATTGAAAATTTTGATAAAGACGCGATTTATGAAGCCTTGCTCTTTACCGGCTCCCTCGAGTAACGTACACAAAGATGCACATATATGTCTCATGATTATGACTTACACATGTGTTCACCGAGCGGCCACACTTCCGGTCCGGAATTGACCTCAACGAGGACGGTGGGTGTGCAGATCAGTAGAACGCAGAGGTCAGCCACGCTTAGGTTCACCAAGAAGATGTTCGTGCTGTTTCGCATGTCCTTACCACGGAACACTACCAGTGGCACCTGTAAACATATAAAAATTTATGCAACGTTTCTTTTGAAGTAACAGTATCGATCTTACCATGAGATTCCCTACTATGCCCAAGACCATCACTATTATGCAAACTACCATGGACGTCGTGCGAATGTAAGCGGGCAGCATGTAAAGTCCTTCGGTCGAGTTTTCGGACTCGATTACTGAAACATCAAGATCGAACGTCGTTAAATTAAACAACTTCCGAGATATTTCTCTATGTTGCAAACATTTCAAAGTCATACAATCGTAATAATCATTAAGGTTGATATATAAATTTCTTTAGTAACAAATATCGAAATTGTATTGAACGAATCGCACACTGTTTAAACGATCGAAGTATCAGGCACGGCTTAACACAATAGTAACAAATGAGTATTCGTATCGAAACTAAAATCCAGTTTGAACAAATGCAGCAATCGAATTGAGCGATTCTTCAATTATTTGGAACAGTGTAGAATCAAACGTGGCATTGTACCGGATAATCCGTCGAGACCGTTGTTTCCACTCACGGTCGCATAGTAGGAAGAATTCAATTCGAGCGGCACGCTGGACACCGTAGACAACATTTTCGGCCGGTGTGGTTCGTTGTCAGGAACGTTTCAATCTGTATCCTTTCGTCGCTCGTGTCACGATACTTCCCTATCATTAATCGTACATCATGTCCGTTCTCGCCTCGATTCCACCTTGCTTCGCTTTTCAATGTCCCTCGCGTCGACAGAACGCTCGCGCACTTCGCGTATCGCGTGTGTCGACTCGTACGTACACACGCGCGCACGCGCACGCACGCACACCACGTGACACGCGTAAAAAAAGCAAGCAAGTTACATTATTTACAGATCAGCGGGTTACAACTGACGCGTCATCGGTCATCGCCAGTCGATAACTCTTTATGTCGGCAGCTTGACGTTTGAACCGACACGAATTCGCGGCGAAGCTTCGCAAACGGCACGGAACTGCCAGACACGCGAAATTAAACGAGCTAAATCCATGGGGGATCGTAGAAGGAAGAACGCCGGTGAACGAGCGTCGGATGAAACGGTTTCCTTTAACTTCCAGGCGACCGTGGCTTTCGTTAACGCGACGGTATTAAGTGACATTATAAACTGCTTCTTCGTGACTCGGTTCGTTTTCTTCCCGTCACACTTTCAACACCGTTAGACGTACACGAAGCGACAATCGATCGAATCGTTTTTTAACTAAGCACTTCGTGGGATTTGAAATTGAAACGGTTCGGGTCAGTTCGGTACCCTTCGGTCCCCGTCGGTCCCCTTCGGCCCCTGTCGACGATTTTCGCGAACTAAACGTGGTTTACATCGAGCGATTTTTTATGCAATTTGCGTAGATAATGATAAAAAACTTGATTGCGCTCTATCTGCTTTATCTACTACTATTTCCCTTTTTTACTTTCCTGTTTTGTTAATCTCGCACCGTGAAATATTGTGACATACAATATTTGTTCACTTGCAGATGATTTGTATGTACTGACAATAAATGAATACGACAAAATAATTGGTCATTCCTATGCATCCGATTCTGGATCGAGAAATGAATATATAAACCCGGTTATTTAAATAAAATATGAAAAGTATAGCAGTATAGTAATTAAGAGAAATATTAAAAGACTAGTGAATTCGCAGGCAATGACAAAGCAATATGCCGTCTTTATATGAGAAAATAATGATTTTAAAAACAATGGAAACAGAAAAATGTGTTGCCGTGGAAATGTCTCGTTCGAGAGGTGAAGAGAAGATAAACGTTTTTATCCCGACGATGATTGCACGGTTGTCTATCTCCCGTAAATGCAATATATGGGTCGGAACACCTTAAGTATCGCCACGATCGGTTGATATCAATTAACTTTTGTGCTATCGAAATCTATTCGAAATCTAATTCTAGCTCGTTTCATTCCATCGTAGGTGTCAACGAGATATGAATTGCGTTCGTGAAACGACCTACCCTAACGACGTTAACCTTACCAATTTTCCCGGCCGAAAATAGCTTTTATTCAATGTCTGCTTTAATTTTCACGTATTTCAATTAATTCGAAGCGATTACAAACACAGTATGCAAAATTTTCACGAAATCGTATTTGCTTTCGTATAAAGCGATAAATTTTAATTGTGAACGTTAAATATTAATTGTGTTTGCAAGGAAGATTTGTATTTAAAATTGAGTCAAACATTGCAGCGGTATTAACAATATCTAATCGAAGCCAAAATTCATTCTACTATTTGTTATAATTGTTTACTTTGTACCGCTGGTGGCTCACGCCTTCCGGTTCCGTAAACAAGACGAACGGAAGCTCGTTTTGGAACGTTTCTCGTCTTTAATTATCTTGTAATTAAACCCTGCACAAAATCGCGTAATTGCGTCCCAGGAAATCTAAAAAATTATCTCTGCCCGTTTTGATTTTCAGAAATATACTTTTCTTAATTTTAATTAGCTGCGATTCTCTTCAGACATGTTCCAAATTATCGAGTTTAACAAATATACCTATTTTCCTAATTTGATCAAAGAACGTACGAAATTTTTCAATTTTTAATAATCATCGCTTCGATAAATGAATTTTTTCCCACGCGGAAGAGTAGACATAATCGACCGTAACATAACCTTTCACCGTTCAAGCATTTTTATTTCAGCATGTCACTTCGCCAAAGTGAAACTTCATGGAATTTCTTCTGAATCATGTTCACGCTAGTTTACGTAAACCTCGGCTGCATCTTCCCGAAGAGTTGTTCGAACTCACTCAACACATTTTTAAGATGGCACATTTCGATCGCGTCACGATCGTTTTCGGGGATTTATTTTGAAATCACATTTTAAAGCACGAAACTGGAGTCGCAGTGTTCGCGATTCACACGTGAGAAGAGGAAATTTGAACCGGTCGGGTTTCCCGAATAATGACGACCGTCACGAGCAAATAGTACCGGTGAACTGAATGGATATCGCTTGGCCCGCCACGATTCTCGAACGCGCCGCCCTACATCGCGCATGCGCGTGCATCCTTTTTTCCTTCGATCCCTTTGCACGCGCTTCATTACGATTTCAATCTTACTTAACTCTTCTCGAAGAACAAACATGCAAACAAATATTTCTAAGATAACTAGCTTCTTGCAAGGAAGGTTTATGATCCCTTTTGAAGGTTCAGATAAGTTTATGTTGCCTTTTGAATAAAGGGCGCATTGGCGCCCAACATTTTGGCGCTCTTTTCAAATTTCAAATTTTATATCAAACTTTCTACTATATTTAAAATATGTCAAAGTCATATTCAATATTTAATTCATATATTTTTGAGCATATTAATTGCATCTATGAATATTTAAAATTATAATTTGTAACTATCTGTCTTCAAAAGTTCCAAAAATGCGAGAAACAAGATTTATTCCGAATCACCTCGGACTTCATATTCCGCTGTGAAAAGACGTATTGAAAGAAGAGTACAATACGAAAATATTTACATATAGCAGCGCGCGTGGGCTCAATGGAAAAAGTTTCGCAGATTATCTCGAAATGCCGGAAAAGATTGGACACGAAAGTTCAACTCTAGCGGCTCTAACAGATCCTTTCACGATGTTCTATCCAGAGAAGAAGGGTGGAAAGATTTTCTTTTCATTCTCAAACGAGCAATTATTTTTATCTGCCTCGAAAGCGTGCAAATCCTTTTCGATTTATAGTTTCGTTCTGCAGAACTCTTGCTCTTTTTACCGTTTCTCTAATTGAACTTTTCCTGAGCAATCATTGCAATGGGGGTTGGTATTGAAATTCTGAATGATTTAGAATCAAATTGAGGCAAATGAAAGGTCACTATTTCTTATTTTATTTTTATGTGTGCAGTAGTAGTAAGTTGGTAAGTAGGGACTGGGTGATGTATGGTATGACTATGTACCATATTTAAGGTGATTTAAGACGTAGGTAATACCACACATAGAGAATACCACGCGTAGTAGTTCAACGCGTAGAGAATACCACGCATGGTAGTTCAAAACGTAGAGAATACCACGCATGGTAGTTCAAAGCGTAGAAAATACTACGCGTGGTACTTCAAAGCGTAGAGAGTACCATGCGTGGTAGTTCTACGCGTACAGAATACCACGCGTGGTAGTTCAAAGCGTAGGGAATACCACGCATGGTATTTCAAAGCGTGGAGAATACCTCGCGTGGTAGATCAACGCGTAGGGAATACCATGCGTGGTAATTCGACGCGTAGAGAATACCACGCGTGGTAATTCGACGCGTAGAGAATACCATGCGTGGTGGCCTAACGCGTAGGGAATACCACGCGCAGCAATTCGACGCGTAGAGAATACCACGCGTGGTAATTCGACGCGTAGAGAATACCACGCGTGGTAATTCGACGCGTAGAGAATACCACGCGTGGTAATTCGACGCGTAGAGAATACCACGCGTGGTAATTCGACGCGTAGAGAATACCACGCGTGGTAATTCAACGCGTATTGAATACCACGCGTGGTAATTCGACGCGTAGAGAATACCTCGCGTGGTAGATCAACGCGTAGGGAATACCACACGTAGTAATTCGACGTGTAGAGAATCCCACGCGTGGAAATTCGACGCGTAGAGAATACCACGCATGGAAATTCGACGCGTAGAGAATCCCACGCGTGGTAATTCGATGCATAGAGAATACCACGCGTGGTAATTCGACGCGTAGAAAACACCACGCGTGGTAATTCGACGCGTAGAGAATACCATGCGCAGTAATTCGGCGCGTAGGTACTACCATGCGCAGTAATTCTGCGCGTAGGTACTACCATGCGCAGTAAATCGGCGCGTAGGTACTACCATGCGTAGTAATTCGGAGCGTAGGTAATACCACGCGTCGTGATCCAACGCATATGAAATACCACATATAATAATTTAACGTGCACCTATACCATGATGATATAACCTACAACCAGTACCCCTTGTACTAATCTGACACATGACCACACAAGACATGGTAACGCTAGTGTTATCATAAGTTTAACCCTCCCCGAAAAAAATGCTAGTTACGCCAATGGTGACCATTCACCATTACACCTCGTCAATTATTTCGGCCAGTTGAAATGCAAGAAAGAGGCTTCATAGAACCGTACTTTGGACGTTTCGAAACGACCGACTGTTGTACAATTTATTACGCGTAGGTGACGGACAGGGTACGAAAGAAGAAGGTACACGTTAAACGGAATTCCGTATTAGGAATCCAAGCACATTCCATTCGGCTCTCACAATCCACTTTATTCGATCGACGTGAAACGGTTTGTCAGCTTCGTCATTTTCAGCTGGAAATACCAGACGATCGGTGTTTAGCCGGCGCGAGTGAAATTCAAACAATATTTTATAAAGTTGCAGTTCGTTAGCTGAAACGAACTCGAGGATGAAAGTATACTTTCCAATTAAAAAATTTCCCGTTTCCACGGAAACTAGAAAATGGTTCCAGGGAACTAATTCTCTTGAAAATGGACCATAATGGATCTCATCCACTGTCCAAGCACATCCCGCGTAATCTGACTTCGTCGAGTGGAACGGAGATAAAGAACAAATTTCACGGGTCAAAATGTTTTCTCTGCTCATCAATTCAGGGCTTCTCAGCTAACGAGTTACAGTGATGTATAGTATAAACGTAATCTCGTAACAAAAATTTAATTCCCTACTAAATTTTACTGCGGTTTGATTTCATATTCAAACACGATTTATTTCCTCCATTCTATTATCCGAATTAACTTGTTCCAAGTAACTTTGGTCTTTGGATATCAAAGATGGATGATCAAAGACATTTTCCGAGATTATCCAGGGACTATTGTAAATCACAATCTCATTTTCTTTGAGTTTTAAGTTTGATAGAAGGGCAACATTGTAAAGCAATGCTGCTAGCAAATAAGTAACAGAAAGGGCAAAAGATTCATTCAACTTTTAATGACCGTATCGAACTACAGTAACAAGAAAATAAAGGAAACCACCCGGAATACTAATATGACCGAATCATTTGTGCAATATGGATTTCCGATTCCAATCGCAGAACTATTAACTTCGTATTAACCTAATTACCACCGAATAAACCATGCCATTCAGAATACGCGAAAATCAATTTCTGCCAGATAATCTTGTCCATTATTCCGCAAGAACACTCTGACGGACTTGTCATCTCGGGGGACTGATAAATTGATTCACCGCTATTACTACCTGCTTATTATTCGGTGATTGATATGGGACCCGGAAGAGTTGCAGCAGTACACGAATCTCGGGAGGAGGGAAAAAATATCGAGGTCCGTGAAATCCGTCGAATATATCGCCTCCGAATTTCTCCAGGGAATTCCGGCTTGTTCGAACATTTGATTAATCCACGTTTGCTATTGCACTCGGAGTAGACAGTTTGGGATGTGGAAATTTGGGAAAATGGAGATTTTGGTATTTTGGGAGTTTGAGGAAGGGAGGTGTTGACATTTTGAGGGATTAGAATATGGAGAGTTAGAGAAATTAGGAGATTGGGAAATTGGGGAGTGAAATTTTGGGAGATGGGGATCTTGGGAGGGTGGAAATTTGAGAGAGTTAAACCTTGGAGCGGTGGAATGTTGAGAGGGTCGAATTTTGGGAGATTTGGACCTTGGAGAGTTGGGGTCTTGGGAGATTGGGATTTGGAGAGATTTGGATCCTGGGAGATTTGGACCTTGGGAGATTGGGACTCTGAGGGATTTGGACCTTGGGAGATTGGGACGTTGAGAGATTTGGACTTTGCAAGATTTGGACCCTGGGAGATTGGGACCTTGAGAGATTGGGACTCTGAGAGATTTGGACCTTGCAAGATTTGGACTCTGGGAGGTTTGGACCTTGGGAGATTGGGACCTTGAGAGATTTGGACTGTGGGAGGTTTGGACCTTGGGAGATTGGGACGTTGAGAGATTTGGACTTTGTAAGATTTGGACCCTGAGAGATTTGGACCTTGAGAGATTTGAACCCTGGAAGATTTGGACTCTGGGAGATTGGGACTTTGCAAGATTTGGACCCTGGGAGATTTGGACCTTGAGAGATTTGGACTCTGGGAGGTTTGGACCTTGGGAGATTGGGACGTTGAGAGATTTGGACTTTGTAAGATTTGGACCCTGAGAGATTTGGACCTTGAGAGATTTGAACCCTGGAAGATTTGGACCTTGGGAGATTGGGACTTTGCAAGATTTGGACCCTGGGAGATTTGGAGTCTGGGAGATTTGGACCTTGGGAGATTGAAACCTTGAGAGATTTGGACACTGGAAGATTTGATCTTTGAGAAATCGGGACCTTGATAGATTTGGATCTTGGCAAATTTGGACCTTGAGAGATTGAAACCTTGGGAAATTAAAATCTTGAGAACTTACAATCTTGAATGATTGGGACATTGGTACATATGAACTTTCGGAGATTGGAACCTTGCAAGATTGAGTCTTTGCAAGACTGGGACCTTGGTAGATTATAGTCTTTGCAAGATTGGGACTTTGGTAGATTATAGTCCTTGCAAGACTGGGACCTTGGTAGATTATAGTCTTTGCAAGATTGGGACTTTGGTAGATTATAGTCTTTGCAAGATTGGGACTTTGGTAGATTATAGTCTTTGCAAGATTGGGA